ATATATTACTCTGCAGTAAGTAAATGAAGAAAACAATAACTGAATGAGTCTGAGACATAAGTTTTTTTACTTACTTGGTTGTGTCTTTCGGAAAATGATGATAAACAGCCGTACACAGCACAATTCACGACCATTATAAATAGTAACGTAAATTGATGTTTTATATTAACGTACAAGTTTCGTAATGAAAAATGAAAACTATATTCAAATATCAAAGCCGTCTTCGCACGAAAACGGTTCGCCGGCAGCCTTGTTGTCGTTCAGCCAATGTGACCGGCAATGTGCGGGGCGTGGTGCGGTGTCTAAAGCTAGGGAGGGGCGGAGGGTGTCCGTTCTCTTTACTTTGTGTTCTCTGCTTGCGGTATGGCCTCATCATCTGGGGGAACTGCGTAGAGCTACACCGTGTATTTGCCATCTAGGAAAACTGTGTCAGAGCTATATGTAGAGTAGATCCGCTCGAATCTTGTAGACCGCTTTTTAGAAAGCTAAATCTTCTAATGCTTCCCGCCATATACGCATATGAGCTATGCATGTTTGTTAAAAAAAACTTGGTCTTATTTACTAGGAAACGTGAAGTATGTAATTTTTTAACTAGATATCCAAACCACTTAGCTGGCCCCTCCCATAAGACTACTTACTTTAATAGGAATTGCTATAACATGTCCATACAAATATATAATGCTTTGCCTGCAGCTATCGCAGACTTACCTATAAAAATATATTTTTTTAAAGTATTTGATTTGCTATGTGATCTGTATTTATATGATATCATAGATTTTTTAATAATAAAAAGAAATTGACATTTTGTTTGTATTTGACATTTTGTTTATATTTGTGCTGTTCTTACTTCTTTGATATTGTTTAATTTATGATTTTATTGCTGTTGCTATTTATTAGCATTTTTACTTAATGTTATTTGACATTGCTTATTTGATAAATTATATAATTTTAAATTTTGACATTATTTAACTTCAATTTATTTTAATATTTGCGTGCCAGTATCTGGTGCAACGGATGTTCTTGACACCCTGTATAATAATATCTTTTGTTACCGTGTTTGCTTGCGAATAGATATTTCATTTCATAAAATGCAGTCCTATTTAAAAAATCGAGATCTTTCTAATGAACAAGGTCTTTTAACGATCGGACGTAAAATGGCGCGAGAGGCAGGGTAGTATTTGTATTTCTAAACTTTTTGCACGTTTTGGCCCCAAATATTGAGCAACACAGTGTCGTATTCAATATTACACACGAAGCTGTAGTCGTCAACATATCGTCGTTCGTTGAACAGGTTACCTATTAAAATTAAAACACAGCGTGTGTTCATTATAAGGTAAGTGTCTTTTAAAAATAATTAATTCTAAAATGAAGACGATTATTTCAAGGTACATATCGTCACTTAGCAAACAACACCGCTCAAGTCGAAAAATGAACTCAAGTCCAAATAAAACGTGAATATCAATAAAAAATTTCTAACCAACACATATACAATTATGTGTCCATAATTAGAGCACCTAATACTAATAATAGAATAGAAAATCTTGTATGCAATAATATTAGTGCAGTTTAGTCAATCTCCTTTAAAACGATATCTTTTTTCGGATATTTTTTTCATTAAATTGTTATGGCAATGTATAGTATAGAGAGATATAATTTTCTGAGAGACTACTATGTTTCTCAAAGTTTTATCGTATTAAATATGATTCCTTCTTTCATTTAAAAGTATTAAGCATGAATAGTTTTTTTTAAAACCCTGAATAACAAATACTTTATGATCAAAACGGTAATATAGAACTCTCTGAACAATTTCAGGTCGTTGTCAAACCAAAGAACTGAATAAGAATAAGAAGTATTCGAAAATATTGTTAAATATGTGTAAGATTTAAATATACACAGGTGAGGAGAACCAGATAACAATAGCGGTTGAAATAATGCTAGAAGAAACTTTTAAAATTGCTCTCCTAAAAATCTGTGTTTTTGCCCTTTTCATCTGAACCAACGACATGTTGTGTTTAATAGGTACCCTGTTCAACGAACGACGATGTGTTGACGACTACAGCTTCGTGTGTAATACTGAATACGACACTGTGTTGCTCAATATTTGGGGTCAAAACGTGCAAAAAGTTTAGAAATACAAATACTACCCATTTCTTTAATAGGACTGCATTTTATGAAATGAAATATCTATTCGCAAGCAAACACGGTAACAGAAGATATTATTATACAAGGTGTCAAGAACACGCGTTGCACCAGATACTGGCACGCAAATATTAAAATAAATTGAAGTTAAATAATGTCATAATTTCAAATTATATAATTTATCAAATAAGCAATGTCAAATAACATTAAGTAAAAATGCTAATAAATAGCAACAGCAATAATATCATAACTAAACAATATCAAAGAAGTAACAACAGCACAAATGTGGTCTTTCTAGAACAACAGCTATTCTCAAAAGGACCTAATTTCCCAGGAAGACGGTTTAAAAAATATTTTTTATAAATACCCTGAAAAAAAAATTGCTTGATGAATCGTGAATTCAATGTTGTCACATGATAATTTTAACCGATGTAAGAAGTGTTTTATTTATCAATAAAATAAAGTCCATCCTGAATACTAGTGCACTTATTAGAGACTGAAAACGTTAAAGTATAATAGGCAAAGGAAAAATTAAACAAAATCAATTAAGTAAAACACAGAGTACCTAAAAGTCAAATAATCTTTGCTTCATTGGTAAGCAAATTACACAATACGAAATCGGTGCATCGGGTAAACTCTACACGGTAAAAACAGATTACTTAGAAAAAGACAAAATTCTTTTTATGAAGACAAATTTATTAAATCCAACAAAACGATCCTCTCCCTATAGACGCTAGAGAATAATTACTTGATAATAGTAAAAAAACGTCTCAAAAGTGTATTTTAATTACAAGACAGAAATATTTAATCCAAGAGCAAATTAATTTACTTCAAGTGACAAAGCCACTCTAGATTCAACAAAATATTTATTTGTTATTAGAAACGTCCGATTTTGATTTCAAAAAAAAAAAAGGATGAAAAATTGAGAGGTACTTAATTATTTGACTGAAGATTTACGTTTTCTAATATCAAAAACGGTAAATTTACAGGGTTATGGACCCAACAGTATGTCTCACTAGCGTGAAAAAGCATACAGTTCAGTGCCAAACCTCAAATTAGCAGAAATAGGACGGAATCTTCTCAAATACTTGAGGACCACTCGGTGCCGTATAAATGCTACAGCGGCAGAAAGCACTAACAATTCCAAATTTATGACATGACTTTATACTATTGAAGTTAACAAAACGATAGCGCGTTTCAGAGTACAACTAATGCCATTTAGCAGTGGCGTGATGGAACTAATTGCATGTTAAAGTTGTGCTTGTGTAGTCTGATTTCATGCTGTAACCAAATTTCTTAAATTATGACTATAAATAACACCCTAACAAACTAGAGATACTACGCATTGTTTCTTTGGATAAATGACTGTTTATGATTTTTATGATTACAAGCACAAGTAAAAGTAATGGTTACCGCGCGCGCCTTCGGCGACATGTCACGACAACATTGACTATGAAAACGCAACGAAATGTTGCTTTAAGAATATACTCTAGAATTTAGAATATTAATCTGAATAGAAAACTAATTCTTTTTTTGTTTAAGAATATATTTTCTTAAAATACACGCAAGAAATTTTGAATTAATTTAAGATTATTTAAATTTGATGTAAGAGGTAAAAATTTCTTGATGTAAGTAATGTCCAATTAATTGATTAGAAATGAAATAAAATCTTGTAGTGAACGTATTTGTCTCAAAGTTAGAATAAAGTTAAGAGCAAAATTGTATTAGAAAAAGATAAGCAGTATTTTTGTAATGACAATATTTTATTACTTTTAATAAATGTTTTTTTCAGAATTAGCAAATATTTTGAGAAATTGCTCTTTCTTATTAGTAGAAATCCTTTTTTTCTGTGTACTGCTTATCTCTTTGTAAATAAACGGGTGCTCATCAATTGTGTGAAATTCAAATAAACTAATTTTAAACGATATATTTACTTGGACTAAATTCACGTCTTATAACTTTTTTTTATAATGTCGTGCGCCTGGTGGTAAGCGACACGCCTATCTATAACAGTTGCAGTGCCACTCCGAGCTTTAAATCGCAAAGATCTTAGGGGGCACTGTCATTGCGTCTCTCTGAGACATAACTTGAAAAGTCCCATGTGCCTGTAATTTCACCAGCACCGTTACCCTTCCAAACCGGAACGTATTAATGCTGATATTACTGCTTGGTGGCAGGAGTAAGGTGGCAGTAGGTACTTCCCTAGATGAATTTCTCAAGAGAAGCTCTACTACTTTCGTAGATTTCTCATAGGTGGCGTTGCGGCAAAAAAGCCTTTGAAATCAAAATCAAGCTAACGCATAAATAATTTTGTAGGGCCTGCTAACTCGAGTACTGTAGTTCGGTTGATAGAACGGTTACCCTGGTTTGGCGAAAACAGACACAGTTTCAATCTTGTCACATTGAAGGATTTTTTCTTTGTGTTTGATATTTGTATTAATAATAGTAGCAAATTAGTGGAGTCATTTCACAAAACTAATTGAATCTCATGGAGGACAAACATCGTGGCATCTCACATCTCTAGTCAGCTGCTGGTAGCTGTAAAGGTACCTTTTATTTTTTTTTTTTTTTTTAGAGGTAAAGGTACCTGCCTGAGTGTAGAAATAGATTTCTCAAAGATGGCGCTAAGGCAAAAAATTCGCTAAAAACCAAAATCGAAGATCAATTTTTCTATGTGCATCAAGCACATAGAAAAATTCATAAGGACTCGATTTGCTGGAAGACGTTGGTTCGAATCCATCCGGATCGCAGGATCTTTCTTAAGAATTATGACAAACTAGTGGAGTTTTCTCACAAAAATAAATAAATATCATGATAGGAAAATATAGTAATATTTATTACAATCAATATCATTATAGATTAGTTAATTTCCTAGTAACAATATAAATAGTATAATTTTGAATAATTCTATTGTGTCTAGTTAGTCAGAATCCAGTTCAGCTAATATCAGCTCTCTACTAGAGTCATCAGTGTCAATTAGAAGCCGGTCGGTAGACTCGTGGACTGCACATTCTTCACTTATCTCCAATCTGAGTTGGCGGCTGGATGTACTGGCTTCCTCAGGAGGCTTTTCTTCTTGCAGACGCTTCAGTTCATTTCTTTTTGTTCTTGAAAAGAAATCTCTCTGGAAATAGAAGAATAGCTCAATTTATTTTTTATTACATTAATATTCTAAGTCACCGGAGGAGATAAGTGCCAAAACAGATTTGCTAGATCAAATTGTTCAGATATTTGGTGTTAAATAACGGTCTTACTAAAAATATACGATACACCGAAGGATATTGTCTAAAGAATGTGCTAATTTGTTACAAGATTATTTTAAGAATTATTTAAACATAAAATATCTCTATTCGAATAAAATAATTTTTATATGAAGGTTTTTTTTAATATAACATCAAGTGATGGGACGAACAACTCGTGCGCCTGGTGATAATTATAATAATTATTATTATAATAGCGCACACACTCAACATAGCCCTGCACTAGGGAAACACTATGACGCGGGTGCCATGGACACACACATAGACAACCACAAATTACAACCAAACTCACGAGAGAAATAAATGTTTCTCCATACAAATATTTCTCCCGGCCCGGGAATCGAGCCTGGGACCTCTGCGTGGCAGTCCGACATGGTAACCGTTTGGCCACTGAGGCAGATAAAATACACTGGCCACTGCGCACGTCTCCTTGAGACATAAGTTGACAAGTCCCATGTGCCTGTAATTTCACCAGCACCCTTACCCTTCAAAACCGGAACGCGGTAATGCTGACATTACTGGTTGGCGGCAGAAATACGTAAGGTGGCAGTACTACCCTGGACGAGCTCTTTCACAAGGAGCTCTAGTGTTAATACTAAGGTAATTTATCTTTAAGTACTACAGAGAACCTGCTAAATTTTGATTTTCAACTGAAGCCCCATTTCTTATTAAATGCATATATATCCCAAAATTTGCAAATTGTTCAGCGGTTTAACGAAACACCGCGCCGCCTGGCGCCCGTCAGTCACCATCGGGCGCTTGTCGACGTCAGGCCCTGAAATCTCGCTCTGAGTTCGACATCCGTCCGAAACAATTGCTGTGAAACAAGTAATACTCGACCAAGTTAAAAAGATGCATGATGCGAATGAAGCTTCACATGTGACATTGTGTTTTGACTTGGTCGACTATTAGTTGTTTGTCAGTAACTGTTTCAGACAGACGGAGAACGAAAGTAGACCCCCAGATCTGTGACAAATTTTCTCCCCCTGTTCTTATTTTATTCTTAATAATTTACAGCGCGCGGATTGCGGGACGCCAGGGGTGACCCCCTTACGCACCTCTTAAAATTTAGGCTCGCATTGCAGCACCTCGCCTTAACCTACTTTTTGGTATAGTTTTTTTTTCGTTTCTTTTTTTAATTTGTTCATTTCTTTGTATTGCACAGGTTATTAAGGCGTTACAAGAATGAATTTTGAATCATTGTTTTTCCGAACTGCGGCAAAGATTTCATATTTTTTATATATACTGTATTTGCACACTATGCTCGTGCAAACCATTGCGCCCGTCACCCTGAGACGTAAGTTGACAAGTCCTATGCGCCTGTAATTACACCAACACTTTTACCCTTCAAAATTGAAACGCAGTAATGCTGACACATTACTGCTTGGCGGCAGAAATTAGTATAGTGGCAGTACTTCCCTGGGCGACCTCTTTCAAAAGGAGCTCTACTACTACGAAATTGTGAAGGTATAGAATCAAAATCGCGTCCGTGGCACATAATTTCTCTCTAGTTTAACTTATTAATGTTCAATTCCGACACATCAGCAATCGCAGATTTAGCTGCCATCATTTAAATAGAGAGCGTTGGGGTCGAACAAAAGTCCCTCATTTGACTGACAATTTTACGACAATTACCGCCATAAGAAACCATCTAAGTTGGACGGTGAGATAAGTGAAGAATAATTGAGATTTGTGGTCTCAAACTACCCGCTACTGTGTTCTTTATAACAATTTTCAGGTAAACGTGACTTTAATTTCTAAGTTACGTGCATTCGTGATCAAATCTGCACTTCGAAGAAGGTTTACAAGCTTCGGAAAACGTGGAAAGCGACCAACCAGAGTTATCAGGGCTCTTGAATCGAATACGTTTCGTTAGATGTAAATTTACATTTTCTCAAACATGCTCGGAAATGCTTGCATTACTTTCAAAAAACGAACACGAGAAGTTAGTCATATAGGGACCGTGAGACTTCTTCCCGGCCAAGGCCTGCAAAGTAAGTCCGAACTTTTCTAAACTTTCAAATCTGGATGAGCTATATAAACAAAAGCTCATACAGGCAAGCCCAGTGTTAGTAATTGCGAGAATTAAAAATACCTAACTAAACCGCTTACTTAAAAAAAAAGAAAAAGGCGGTAAAATAAAGTGCTTTGGTATTCTTTTCTGTTTTTTGCGTCTTTTTTGTATTTTCGTCGTGAAAATAATTGAGACAAGCGGTAATGAAAATACAGTAATGGATTGTATTCCTCCTTATTTAAATTGAGGCAATATTAGCGACGGAAAACTTGTTGCCGGCTATGAGCAAAACAAGATACATGAAAACTTATGAAACTTTCAATTAATAGCAACTAAGGTAAGGTTTGTTCGTATTATATATTGTAACGTGTAACATTGAAAGATATTAGTTCCGATACTGTAAATAAGCATAATAAACCTTGATTGTTTCAGGTTGCTCTAATTCTAGGGATAAACGGTGCATGCAGGAGTACAGAGCTCACGAATATCACCACAAAGGACATAGAAAATATTAAATGTATTTATATAATACCTTTAATATTAATTAATTTTGTTTTTTATTATACACCTTCCTCTCTTTGCTTTTTTATTATTTCCTCGCATTGTTTGAGATAGGCACTATACACGCCTTGGCCGGAATAGGGATTGCTTGACTCGTATTAATTAATACAAGTAACTCACTCGTCCAACAATCCCTTACTTCCCGACCTTTGCAGTAATGTACTATTTTGCTGTATTATGCGTTGCGCCGGCGTTGTAACACCTGAGAGGTGATGCTGCGTGTACTACAATATAAACTAGAACTACATGACGCACACAACAACGGAAGTGCCTTGAGCCTCGATTATTAGAACCGATGTCGCCAAAACTCACACATTCTTAAAAAAACACTACAAAATCTTGATATTGATTGGTCGTAGTTTCAAATTTAAAAAGAAATAACAAATTTTGGATTATTAATATAATTTAAACTTTACTCCGTTGGCATTATCGTTGAAAGTTCAATACAATCAATACCTATTATTGGAAGTTATGACGTTTTGATATTATATTGAAATTTCAAACAATGTGCTGCCATCTAGCGGTTAATTGCTGAACGACGACGGATTTGAGTTATTAATTTAGTTCTCCAAAAAAGAAGCGACCATATTGCAGGGCTGTAAGCTTTACTTTCGTTTCTTATAATAAAAAAAATGTTTCGATAAACAGAAAATTGAAAATTTGTTAAATTAAGGATTTCCGATGATATGAAATACCACCACGGGTAAAATTTTTGGTGCGGCTATTATTTTTGCATTCCAGAACAACACAATATTTTTCTAGGATTTGAAAGAATGACACGACCACTCCGTAAACAAAGCAAAAATGGCGGACTTAGCTCACATAGGTCTTTCGAGACCTTTAAGTTGGCTCACGTCGACGCTAACTAACCACGTCTACTGTATTTGTTGTTCTGTGTGTGCAAAGTTTTTTCATTTTTCACTTCTCTACTTTGTAATGTCAATTTCAACGTCATCTCTGACTTTTATTGTCTAATTTTGGTGCCTTCTTAATCGTTTTGCGATAACAAATATAATTGAGTTAACGTTCTCAAATGTTAAGAAAAGTGTTAAGAAATGTAACCATCTAGCTACACTGTGCCCAACGCACGTTGTGCTATATTCTGTACTCTAACAGTGGAACGTATTCGAGTCCATGATGATCCATCAATCACAGTAACTTCTCAAAAAATTTCACTTCTCTTCATTGTATTTTTTTCGTCCGGTACGCCTTAAGTTTATTTTTCCCTAGTTAATATGCAGGAAAAGTTTAAAGTTCACACAGCTTGAAGAACTTAAACTAACTCGTCTGTCTGTCTGTTCACACAAGAGTAAAAGGCTTCGACGTGATTCAAATACGATTGCGGTTCAACTTTGACTTTACATTCTGAATGTTAGTTTATTTTTGGTTATTTAACATACAGTAACTTTAGGTGTTGCATGACTTAACCTTGTAATATATTCTCGTATATAAATGAAATGTTTTTGTACATATAAACTATGCTTTTCGGGTAAAGCTAAAAATCTAAAATAATATTGGAGTGGAACTGTGGTGAACTTCTTCAAACCTTTAAGTATAATTTTGATGATCTATTAACTGCCCCCGTGGCCGAACGGGTGGATGTAATTCAGGGTCCATATCACCCGCGATACAAGGTCTCCCTAGTGCGGGGCATTGAGTGTGTGCGTTATTTATGTATATTTAATTATATTATATTCATGTATTACAATAATATACAGGTGAGACACGAGTTAAATATTATTGAATATGCCAGGGAAAGTGTACTTATTACTGTAAAGAAGAATCATAGGTAGAACAACATTTGTAATGTCATAGAATTTCAAATGTTCATCACATTGACTTACAATTATATGGACGTCGGGTCCGCGCTAAAAAGTGTCCGAACTTATAGGGCGTTAAAATCGTATACAGAGCGTCATTCAGGCTTTAGTCTTCGTTTTTTCGACTGACAGCGATGCAAGCAAAATTAGACAGTACTGCGATGACATTACCATTTAAATTCAACGTTTTAGCGTTTTCATATTCCTTTACATGTCACTACGTTTAAATAGGTTGACTTGGGACATTTTTTCGTGGTTTTTGTATTAGACCCGTCGTCCACTTATTTGTAAGTCAATGGTTCATCGTAATGAAATCTGGTTTAAGATTGCCATTTATGAAAAATAATGACGGCAATAATATTAATACGAGGAACAATAATCTCAAAAAAAAAATCCGGGATCAAAAGTTCGTGGAATTAGATCAATTTGCCAAGTTTTATTGAAATCGGTTACCGGAAAGAGCGCGAGAACATATTCATCCCCTACTTTGCTACCCTTAGAGGTGGAATTTTTTCTTCAAATTTAAATGGGACAAATTTTTGAGGTTCTTTCTCACAAAAAAGAATCATCAAGATCGGTTCACAAAGACTTATCGAGTTGAGAACATCCTCCTTTTTGTAAAGTCGGTTAAAAATAAACTGACTGTTCTTGACAGTCGTCTTCAAAAAGTCACAAACTCAATTAAGGGCAATGTGTACACTTCTATAATAAGATTCCGGTTGATATTGAAAATTTTGCTTCAATAAAATTGAAACTGAACGAGACAAAAAAACCGCTTATAGAGAAGTCCAGATCTGCTTTCGCTGAATCCAGATAATATGTTAATAGCTCAATTTCCATAACACAAGTGCTTTAGTTAGAACAGGGCAATGTGCGTGATGTCTAATATTTATTCATTTATGTAAATAATCTGTATTTAAATGTAATTTGGTTTGAATGATGACTTTGTTTTATATAATTATTTGCTTGTATCATACGTATGAATGTATTTGATTATGTTTTTATTATTAACCGACTTCAAGGAGGTGAACCGATTTTGATGATACTTTGTTTGTAGGAAAAGGGTACCATATGGATATTGGTTCCATTTAAATTTACAACCTAGGGGACGAATCCGGTTTCGCGCTCTTTCCTCTAAACCGGTTTCAATATTTTTTTTTTATAAAAAACAATTATTTCTGTTTCGTTCCTTTTTCCTTGTCTGGTAATCAAAGAAATATATTTTCTTTCTTTCTTTCCCATTGACTTACAATTATATGGACGTCGGGTCCGCGCTAAAAAGTGTCCGAACTTATAGGGCGTTAAAATCGTATACAGAGCGTCATTCACGCTTTAGTCTTCGTTTGTTCGACTGACAGCGAAGCAAGCAAAATTAGACAGTACTGCAATGACATTACAATCTAAATTCAACGTTTTACATATTCCTTTATATGTCACTACGTTTAAATAGGTTGTCTTGGGACATTTTTTTCGTGGTTTTTGTATTAGACCCGTCGTCCATTTATTTGTAAGTCAATGTTCTTTCCCATCTAATTGTGACAACTGTAGTTAAGCTTACCTTATAAAGTGCATAAACAATAACAGCCAGAAACAAAACTCCAGCAATAATCCCTACTATAATAGGCCAAATAGGAGTGGCTGGGTCCAGAATAAGAACAGTCGTTACGGAGACGGTTTGACGATCTCTTGTTGACTTTAAAATCGTTGTCGCGTTGAATTTTCCTAGTTCTTCTAATAAACGACCTGAAATAAAAACTTAATATGGGCATACATTTTTAACCATCGATGGATATAAAGGGACGCTAAAAGTTTGAATCCTTTATTTGCAGTGTAATTCAATCGGTATGGTTCTTAACTTTGTTTTTTATATATCCGCTCACGCGATACATGCAGCCGTAGACGCATACTACACCTAGAGGTGCCGGTGATGATTTTATACCGATTTATTGGATATCGAAGTTATAACAGGTAAAAGAACTAATATTAATTGCTATTTCGGTAACTACTCTAGTAAACCATAAAGTTTTTAATGTCTGGGTCTGTCATTTAAAAAAAATAAACAACTTCAAAAATACATCACGATAATCGTGTGTGTTATTGTTTGGGCTGGTGATTTCGGTGTTTATTTATTGAAAACATACCGTAAGTAGCATTTTTTTAAGTTTACCCTGAATATAAATGTTTATAAACTATACTTTAAGGAGTAATTTCATGGTAAACGTTAGAACCACTCAAACGGAATATTATCATATTTATTCAAGTACACCAAAAATGTCATTAGTGCTTTTTAAGTGGAGGATTTGCGGTGTATTACTGCATTTTATTTGAGATGTTTTTGTTGGTAGTACGGAGGGTATTTATTTAGCAATGCAGAATAATAATTTTTATTTATAAAAACTTGTATTTAAACTGAATCCTTTTCTATTTTGCGAAACCAAATAGCTGCCATTTTGCGGTAGGAGGAGCGCATCGCGTGAGCGGATAAATGACAGGCGGATGACTCCGATCCACCTGATGTTAAATGGAAAGTGGATTTGATAGAATATGGCAAGTTGCAAAACGGTGACTACGTAGACCCGTACGCGAGCTTTGGAGCAGGAAAGGATAGGCAGGACAAGGCTGAATAATTCATCAGTGCACTCTCGTTAAAAAGCACTAAGCGATGCAAAATTTCTAGACAGTTGCATTTTTCATGAGCTGTTTAAAGACCATCAGTTCGTTTCCCAATTTCATCCAAAAAATCCAAATTTCAGTCATTCAATGAATGCTTGTTTTACTTCTACTACTACTATCTACTTCTATTACTATCGACTTGAACTTTGGTATGCTATGTAACATCGATGACACTTCTATATAATTTTTCAACTTTGAAACTTTCTAAGCCATAGGAAATGAAACTATTTTTCCGGATTCAAATCGCGTATATTTGTTTTTTCAAACAAACCGACGTTTCGGGCCCTTTACAAGTCCCATGGTCACGGTTGGCTCTAAGCCATCATTACTAAGATTACCCTCATCGAAATTGGGTAGTATATAACCTTGAAATAGTTAATAACCTAAAAAGCTTTCCCTGTTGGAAGCCTTTGGGTCATATTGACAACATCGTAGGTCCAACGGTTTGCACCATGGGCGCTAGATGAGAAGATCCCGATTTCGATTCCTAATAAGACCAATGTGGGGAATTAAAATCTCCGAGTCTTCTGGGTATTGCTCTGAAGTGAATGCCGTTGATTTGCTATTAATAGTGCAGGGAATTACTTTGAGACCAGGTCATTGGTGTAGTTGTTTAGCACGTTATTTACCATATGTCTGACATTGTTAATTAGTAATAATAACGTCAGTAAGCCTATATAGTCTTACTGCTGGGCAGACGCAGGCTCAATGCGGATAAGAAGTTCAGACACACATAATTAAGTTGCACAATGTTTTCCTTAATCTAAAGGTTCATGGTAAATTTCAAATTAAATTAGGCACATAATTTCCACAACTCAGAGGTGCAATCTCGGATTCGAACCCACGAACCTCTGCTTGAGAGGTGACTGGTCAAACCATTAAGCTACTACGGCTTAATTGGCATTGTTAATAAAATTTAACATCTTTAAATGACAGGTAATAGTAACTTATAAGAAGAAAAGGTTACCGTGCTTATCCAAATCCAACTTCAACGCTAATAGTAAAGCACGTGTAACGTAAGCCGGCATAAACCAAGTGCAGTTGAGAATATTCTTCTCTTGCTTACAATCTTTGACTATATTTGTCAAGGACACCTGAAAAAGACCAATAATTTTGAATCAAACTTAACTCATGCAAACAATGAAGTAAATTTTATTTTTATCAAGAGGAGCTTAATGGAATTAATCACGCTGCTTAATTGAATCAATCACGGTTCTTAATTGAATCAATCACTCTTTTTAATTGGATCAATTTAAAAACATCTTAAACCTATCAAACATAATAATTGTTGCAGTTCATCCAGGGAAGTACAACAGTTGATGAATATAACGTTATCTAATCCAATGAACTTCAAGCAGGTAGATTGGAAGTAATTATATTTAAAGATTTTATCGAGTTCTTAGGTTTTCGCGATTATTACTAATAGGAAATAAAACTATTTTTCCGGTTGTCAACCATGACCATGGTACCTGTAAAGAGCCCGAAACGTCGGTTTGTTTGAAAAAACAAATATACGCGATTTAAACCCGGAAAAATAGTTTCATTTCCTTTGAAGATATTGTTATAAGTGCCAGGTTACGTGTGATCGTTGATAGAACTGTAGGCACAATTAAAGTTATTTAATGAATTATGATATAGGGTCGGGCACTCGTTCCCACCTTTACTCGACCTCGACCTCGACCTTTACTCGAGGGTTATAAACGTCATCTTAGTAGAAGTAGAGCTCCTTGTGAAAGAGTTCGTCCAGGGAAGTACTGCCACCTTATGTATTTCTACTGGTGAAATTACATGGGCCTTGTCAATTTTGTCAGCGGCTGTGCTTGTCTTTGCGATTTAAATTCTGATAGCACTGAGTGCACCTACTATGAATAGGCATGTCGTTAACCACCAGGCGCATGACTCATTCGTCCCGTCACTTGGTGTCATAAAAAAAGCAACGGCGTCTACCGTAATACTGAATATCAGACCATGTGTTATAGAATGGCCATGGACCAATAACTGTAGAGGTCTGCTAATTGCGATACAAGATGGTATTTAGTACCTATTTGTACACCAGCTGTCGCGACCAGTACCAAATAGCTATTTCTGTAACTAATTTGTTTAGCATTGACACACTGCAATTTATCAAAGCTGCTATAATTTCTAGTGATAACAAACAAATCAACTAGATGGCGCTTATTGCACAGGTATTTATGGATGGTACCGGCTATTCTTATATTTTGTTTAGGATTAGCGACATCTACCTACAGGAGCAAGCGGTAATTTATAATTTAGTTTGTAACATACAATGCCATTTATTGATACGCGTATTCATTTTTTAGATTCAGTAGACAATCGTGCCAATAGGCGTATAGGTGACACGGAATTAGTGGAGGCGAAGCCGCAAACACTGAACACCGCCGTAAAGTTGCCTGCTTATCGGTATTTTACAGGATACATCACGGAGAGAGTGCGATGGAATTACACAATTTAATTCTGCCTTCCCCATTCCATCACCGGGGGACTAGGCGTAGGCTTGGGTTCCACCCCTATGTTGTGGATATTCCAAAGAATCGCACGGAGTGTCACGCCTCCACATTTATATGGCGAACGGCTATGGAGTGGAATTCCCTGCCTGCTGACTTGTTCCCTGAACGTTATATCTTGGGCCTTTTTAAGGCGAGAGTGAATAAGCATTATTTTGGTGTGCAAGCTCCATCGTCGACCTCATCGTTACTTTCCATCAGGTGAGATGGAGGTCAAATGCGCACTTAGATTTTATAAAAAAAATATTTGTCAAAGTTCACAAAATAATTTTAGCTCATAATCATTCCAGTGAAGTCTCCGTGGAACTGCCATTGCAACTAGATTTTAACAGAATAGCAACTACATCGAGTATATAACCAGAAATAGAGACGAAATGTCATTTAATTTGTTTGAAAACTATTCTGCCATATCATTACCATGACAACTGCGCTCCGATTGGCTAGCCCGAGTTCGAAACAATTGACGGGTGTCGTCAATGGGCGTCGTCAACTGTTTACTTCAAATCGACCAGTTAACTTGAGCTTTGCTATAATGGACGTAAAATGCAAAATTACATATTTAATATTTAATTACCGATGAATTGTGTTTCTGTCTGTTTTGTAATTAGATGTTTTGCTGTTTTTCCCATTCCTCCGAATAGAGCAGCACGGCATTGTTAGAGATATTATCTTTATTTTAATAAATACAGAATATTTTTTGGAATATACGGAGACGTACATACAGGTCAGTAGTTCGCCTGTCTATGTTTCAGTGCAAACGAGAGTTGATATTTATAAGAGCTGTATCGTTAATGTGTTACCAGGAATATATGGCCCTTATTTCGTCGTCTCCGTTTCTGGTTATATACTCGATGAGCAAATATTATCATAATTGCAATGTCTAAACCAATGGAAACACAGTGACCCTGAAATACTTACATTTTCAGATAATTCAATGCTAAAGTTTAATCTTTTCCAGTCAGAAGGTCCACTGCTTGAAATCTGAAACAAAATATAAACAAAAATTGGTTTATATACCCGGTCAATTAGAGTCAATATTGATTATAATAACACTTCAATGTACCTCGTAATAATGCGCAAATGTAAGGTTTTTGTTACTGTAGAATTTTTCTCTCGTAACAGATATAGAAATGTTCGGCAACGCTTTCCTGAAAACAGATGTATAGTTTTAAATAGTTATCCTTATATATGATCCTACTGCTAAGCTCAGGCCTCCTCTCGTACTTTGTACAAGTTGGATATTTCAAGGACTCGCACGAAGCGTTACGCTTCCACATTTACCTCAGTAATTGTCCTATTCAAATTTGAAGAAGATATTTCACCTTTTAAGAGCGGTTATACACAGTTACACTCGCGCGTTTGCATCGGTGCAATCGTCTATAAATACCAAGTGTAGCGATGCAAACGCGCGTTCGTGAAATTGCTAAAGTTGCCGTGTGTAAGTAATCACGATAACGGCGCGTGTACACGCTAAGAAATTCGTCGCGTCTGCAACAGAAAAGACGAGAATGGCCTTGTACAGGACAAGAATTTTGTCAGATCTAGCCACGAAAATTTTTCTTGTCTTCGTATCTGTTGCATATAAGAAAATAATGAGTGTGTACACGATACGAATGCTTTCGGGCAGAACGTGTCACTGCATTTCCAGGTCGTTTTACTACCGACTGTATGAAGAAATGTGATGCCTACTAATAAAAAAAGGTGATTGCAGATTATATATATATAATAATAAATATTTCTCTTCATGCCTCAAAAGTACCTCGTTTATCTTTATAAATCTCTAAGGTTTTGTCCCACAATACGGGTCGTTCCCCTACTAAACTTATAAATAAATCATGCATTTATTACTCGCAATCAAATTAGTGATGCAACAGTGGTACTTTGCAAAATCAATCGACGCGCATAAATGTTCGTTTACTGACAATGCGCCCTATGCAATAGCGGTAGAGCGCGTCGCGTCGGGGGTAGACAAGATTTTTTCTTGTCCGGCGCCGAGGCAGTTTTTACGTTCGTGTATAGAAACGACACGAATTCTTGCATAGACCCGGCGACTTTTCTTAGCGTATACACGCGCCCTAAAGGTGGCTGGCAAATTAGACAATGAATCCAGTATATTGTATTTCACTCACTTTCCGAAAATCGATTTCAATAAAACTTAGCGCATAGATGTAATTCTAATGAAAGTAAAATGTTATAGTGATCTATAGATGATCTGATAATGGAAATGGCAGACAGATGAGAGGAACTCCTCAACGGTGTACAGCAGCTACCTTGTGTTTGGGCTCATATTATTCGTTTTGACGAGGACTTTAATATTGTGTTTCAGTTATCATGAGGAGACTGTACAGCGAAAACGAAGCTACCTTTTGAGATCGGGTTTTTTAAATAAAACAAGTTATAATTATAGATGACCGCTTACCCAGCAAGACTAAAGTTGGCTTTTGGTACGATATTTATAAACGTCTCAACAATTTTTCCATCACTAACGTTAGTTCTGTAAAGAGAATCTTTCAATTCAGCTTCAAGTTTAAGTACCTTCTTTTCAGTCTCTTTCAGGTCCTCTAGTTCAATATTCCAATCTATGGACTCTCCTCTGCCTAGAGGCGCTGGGACGTCACATGTCATCAATAAATCTTTTAAATTACAAAGACTTCCGACTCTTTTTGGTGGTAACGGAAGTTTGATATCTACTTTGGCACCGTACGCCGGTTCTTTCTGGTTAGTAACTGTGATTTTGACGCCTAGACGATTATTTGTACCTGGAACGTAGACGCTGAAACCAAATTTTTAACTACAAAATAATGTTGGGACAAATTTGTGAAAAAGTCCGTCCAGCGAAGTACCATCACGTTACCTATTGTGAGCTTTAGTACTGTGTTCAGGTTTGGAAGGGTAAAGGTGCTGGTGAAAGCAAATGGGACTAGTTAACTTAAGTCTCAGGGTAACGGGCGCAGTGGCAGTACCCCTAAGATTTTTCCGATTTAAAGTTTTGATAGCCACTGCAACTGTTATGGATAGGCATCGCTTGGTGTTAAAAAAAAAGTTATGATGCTGTGGGCTAAGCGTGACAATTATAACAGTTTCCGTTTACAAAGATTAAAACTAAATTCAGCAATGGCCAGATTGAAATAGCTCGAATTCTGTACCCTCCGTGAAAACGCGGCGCGGTTTCCGTTGGACCACGGAGGCAGTTAAACCTATCACAAGCAAGTTTGTAACTTTCAATTGCCTCCGTGGCCGAACGGTTACCATGCCTTCCTGTGTTCGATTCCCAGGCCGGGAAAATGTTATGGCCTACATTTATTTCTCTCGTGAGTTGGGTGTCATTTGTGTCTATGTGTGTGTCCATGACACGTGCGACAAAGGGTTTTCCCTATTGCGGGGCTATATTGAGTGTGTGGGTTATTATTATAATGTAATTTATTTGTGCGATAAAGAATTATTAAGTTATAAAAGTAAGTTAATTTTATTTATTGATAAACCACAGTATTTACTTAAAAAAGTAGAACACATAAGAAAAAAATACGATATCACTAATATCAAAACTATAACCACATTGTACAACGCTTTGATACGGAGTCAGTTAGAGTTTAACTCAGTCACATGGGCTCCCCACGATGCGAAGTATAATCTCATGCTCGAACGTATCCAGAATAAATTCACAAGATACTTGCATATGAGGCTATATGGGGTATACCCTTTCTATCCCTTGATTTATCCAACCTTATTTGTATTAGGTATGGTTGGATACAACAAGTTGGAACCGAGAAGGGAATTGGCTCTAGCAAATTACATAGTGCGAGTATTGAGGGGATTAATATCAAAACCCGGAAGTGTTGCAATCACTATGTCTGTGCGTGCCAAACGAATACGTGCGCAGGCGCCGACAACCACGACTATTGGCGGTGCCGCGAGGTAGGACAAATTTGCTCAACAAGGCACCCCTTACTCGCACCATTCATACACTGAATCGAGTAGCGGATGAAATAGACATTTTTACTTGTTTTCAGAGCGAATTCATGAGGACAACACTATTTTTACTTAGTTCCTAGTTAATTGTTTAATATTATTGGTTATATACTTCAGTAGAAATTGGATATAATTTAATTGTTTTTAATTCAATCATTATTATATTATTTTTAGTTATGTTTAGGAATTATTCATGTCTTTGATGCTACACTATTGTATTAGGTTTAGCCTGTAAAAATAGATGTATGTATGAAATAAATAAATAAATAAATAAATAAATAAATAAATAAATAAATAAATTCAAAACTTCAAAAGCGAAACACAATATGCTCACATTAGTGCTTGGTGGCAGAAATAGACATGGTAAGGTGGTTGTACTTCCCTGGACGTACTCTTTCCCAAGGAGATCTACTATAGCTAATTTGAATTATTATTTATGTATTTTGTAAACTGTATAAAGGTGATAATATTACCCTTCGAAGGCCTCCATAGTCATAACTAGCCAAGGTGTACAAATGAGGTCGTCACCGCAATCTCGAACTAGCTGAATGAGGAACGACGATTGTAATGTGGAGTCTTCTGATAACCTTGCAGCCCCGGGCATAAAGACTTTAGTGACATCTGAAGGAATAATAGTGCTCAAGTTACTACAGTCAAAAGCACGTCAAGCTTGACACTTTGTACTTTGGACCATTCTTATCATAAGCGGTATAGAGTTGGATTTTTTTTTATAATATCAAGTGACGGAACAAGTCGTGCGCCTGATGGTAAGTTACACGCCTGTCGTTAATAGATGCAGTGCCGCTCAGAGCTTTAAATCGCAAAGATCTGAGGGGCACGGCCACTGCGCCCGTCACCCTGAGACGTAAGTTGATAAGTCTCATGTGCCTGTAATTTCTCCAGCACGCTTACCCTTCGAAACCGGAACACAGTGATGCTGACATTACTGCTTGGCGCCAGAAATAGGTAAGGTGGCAGTACTTCCCTGGACGAACTCTTTCACAAGGAGTTTTACTGCTACTAAATTTAAATCTTAAGTGTCAAGTTTGACCTCCTCTTGACCCTGTCCGTTACTAGGCTATTTTTATACAAAAATTTTTGCACATTCTTGTCTAAACATTAGCGCTTTTACTTAAATGTTAATATGGTATGGTGCAGTTGTAAATTTTTATTTACGACAATGTAAAATGATCTACATTTTATTTAAAATAATTTTGTTCCGAAAGTCATTTCATTAAAGTCTAATTAATTGTGTTTTTATATCGCTGCAAACGAAACTCTTCGATTTATTATACCTAGTGTTGTTCAATGCCGTACCACGTGACTAACCCCAGTCTTGGTCTTGGTTTTACGTCATTATATCTAATCTAGGTCTAAGTCTTGCTGCAGGAGTCTTGCAATTATTGCATTACTTATTGCTACATATAAAACTATCATATTCTGTTATTTTTATAAAAAAATGACAATGAACGTTGGTTCCTATATTAGAACAACGCCACGGAATAGGTACATTTTGATTAACTTTACATTATTTTTACGATCATATTAGTTGGTATGACCATGCAATGCATACAAGGCATGACTTGCTTGGGGGAACGCTTTGTCGCGTCGCCTGAGTGGACTCGGAAGTTAGTTTTTCGATTATCGGTGTATGTTGTTGTTGATAATTTGCTGTTGATAATTCAATTCTCTAATCCTTTCGAGACGTCCGAGTCAATGGAGTCTGCTAACTTGATTTCTCCGATAATATTGGGCTTAGATACGATGGTCCACCAGCTCCTGGTTCTTTCGTATCCTCCAGCCATCTTTCCTCTGCGTGGATCCCTAAATCTTACGGAAGAGTTTTCTTTTGAAGAAGCTTGTTTCTTCCTTCAGAGTGACTGACCAAGCTTCACATCCATGCATTAAGACCGGTCGTATGACAGTTTTGTAGACACGGATAGCCATATAGTTTAAAGTAACTGTAAGACACAAAGGTCTCGCAGAATCAGTTTTGTGTTTGTTCACATTTTGCAAATCTGGTATCGGTTAGGCTGCAATTAGGTGGTCTTGATCTCTCTTGCAAAATACTACAAGACCACCGCTGATTTTGAGCAACACATAAAAAAAAACTTGAAGAAAATAGAACTGGGATAATATATATAATCACGTAAGCGCCAACGTTTAGGGTCCAAACCCTATCACGAAAATTTAAAAATCAATTTAACCTATGAAATTAGAACATGTTAACATGAATTTCTTAGAAAATGCATTTAAATTTAAATGCATATGTTTTCAAGATCTGTGAGTGAATAAAATCTTGAGATGTTTCTAGAGAGAGAGATAAGTACTTCTGTCAATTGTTATTACCTATAAATGGTCTTGCAGGTTTCACTTCAAACTTCATTGATATTGGTTTGGACAAGTCTGCGGTTGGCTGTAATAGAAAAAAAATGCCAATTTAAAGAATTGGCAATTATAATAATTACTGCAATTGATGCACTTTACGTTGTTTTGTAATTTCATATCCGCTCACGCGATACATGCAGCTGTAGACGCATACCACACCTAGAGGTGCCGGTGATGATTTTATACCGATTTATCGGATATCGAAGTTATAACAGGTAAAAGAACTAATGCCTGGGTCTGTCATTTAAAAAATTAACAACTTCAAAAATACGTCACGACAATCGTGTGTGTTATTGTTTGGGCTGGTGATTTCGGTGTTTATTTATTGAAAACATACCGTAACTAGCGTTTTTTAAGTTTACCCTGAATATAAATGTTTATAAACTATACTTTAAGGAGTAATTTCATGGTAAACGTTAGAACCACTCAAATGGAATATTATCATATTTATCCAAGTACACCAAAAATTTCATTAGTACTTTTTAAGTGCAGGATTGGCGGTGTATTACTGCATTTTATTTGAGATGTTTTTGTTGGTAGTACGGAGGGTATTTATTTAGCAATGCAGAGTAATTATTTTTATTTATAAAAACTTGTGTTTAAACTGAATCCTTTTCTAATTTGCGAAACCAAATAGCTGCCATTTTGCGGTAGGAGGAGCGCATCGCGTGAGCGGCTACTGAAATCTTCCACGAGCCGCCTCTGCCTGTAACATTAACATTGAGTCAGAAGGTAATGATATAAAAGTAGTTACTTTGACTTCAACTTGGTGTTCATTACAGCTGTCCGTTCCTGGGCTCACAGTCACTGAGTAATTTGGATCACCAGCAATTGATGCTCTTTTGTCTTCTTGATCTATTGTTACAGCGGCATCGAGAACTGCAAAAAATTGTTTCTACATCTGTCTGAAATGAAATATTATTGTATAAACAGGTCCTTATGACATACGTAATGACGTAATGACTGCAATCGCAGTAACAAAAAAGACTTTCCATAATAAAGAACACATTGTCTCCTCAAAAATACAATTGAAAAAAAGATTTATTAAAACCTTTGTATGGAGTACCGCACTGTATGGATGCGAGACGAAGACAATAACAAACAAAGACAGAGAGAGATTGGAGTCATTTGAAATGTGGCGCTGGAGGCGAAATGGATTGAAAACATATCAAATGTGGAAGTTCTTGAAAGGAGAGAAGTCTTTTGAATGCAATAGAGAGGAGAAGGGGGAAAATGTTTGGACATTTTTTGCGTAATGACGAATTTGTGAGAGTGATTGAGGGGAAGATAGAAGGGAAAAGAAAGAGAGGAAGACCAAGAATGGCGAACATAGAAGATAGATAGAATAGAATATAGTGTACAAATAAAAAAGATCAATGTGACCAGCCATAGAAAGGTCAAAGAACTGGCTATGAACCGTGACGAGTGGAGGAGACTGCACCGACAAGAGTCTGGCTCTTAAATAAGATTTATGCCAGTACGGGCCTATGGTATACAGCTCTGGGGCTGTGCCGTTAAAAGCAACATACAGACAATACAACGCTTCCAAAATAAAATACTGAGGACAATTGTGGGTGCTCCTTGGTATATACGAAATAAGGATCTGCATCGCAATTTAGAAATAGATTCTAGACTTTATTATCACTTAAACATAGAGGCTACACTGCTACTTGACAATACAAATATAGTGCGTAGACTACAAAGTATTAATAAGACTATCAACACAAGCACGGAGTGTCTTCCCCTTAGCTAAAGTTAAAACATATTTGTCGATGGACAATTTCTATAAATAAGTTACATTTATTTTAGAAAATTATGTTAAATGAAAATGACTTATTATTCTTGTAAAAAGGCTACATTATAATTAGTTATAAGGTATTTTGCTTTACAATAGATAAAAAGAAACTGTCTGAAAGAACAATAATTGACCTTCTTCTTTTATTTTTACCACCAAATTCTGTCTTACTTCTTCAGTAATATGTGATACTTAAGCTTGCATGTAATGCACGGTACATTTATGATATTTTACGATTGTTATGCCAAAACTGCGTCGTAAAACACAGATGTTAGCCGTAGCTATAGTTTTGCTGAGGCAGCACGGTTAGTGCGGTCTACAAGGCTTTAAAATTATTCTTATGATTTCAATTCATCGAGTATATAACCAAAAATAGAGACGTCAAATAGGGGCCATCCATCCCTGGCAACTGATCAGGCAAATGGGCCTTATATCTTTTTTAAATATCAACTTTCGTTTGCCCTGAAATCACAAATTAGAAAGCTGAAATAGTACAGCGCCAACAACTGACTTGTGTGTACGTTTCCGTATATTACAAAATATTTAATAATAAATAGAAAATAATAAATATATATATAAAAAAGTATTTAATAAATAATATCTCTAACAATGGGGGATCTGTTACATTCAGTGGTGTAGGAAAAACACCAAAACATCTAATTACAAAACAAACAGATTCACATTTCATCGGTAATTAAATATGTAATTTTTCAATTATCGTCCATTATAGCAAAGCTCAAGTTAAAATGGTGGAGTTGAAGTGAAACAATTGACGACACCCGTCAATTGTTTCGAATTCGGGCTGGCCAATCGGAGCGCAGTTGTCACCGTAATGAGTTCGTAGAATAGTTTTCAAAGAAATTAAATGACATTACATCTCTATTTCTGGTTATATACTCGATGTTTCAATTCAACTTTGTGCCACACAATGATTGTACTTAAGGAATAATTTGTATATATATATATATATATATACACTTGTATAATATCGATGGTCTAGTGCACACTTGCACTAAGTGCATAACTTCTCATTTTTTGTTTTATCGGTGCAAAGTGTATTAAATGCCTCTCTGCATCGTTCCCATTCATCAGATCTTCAAAATATTGTCTCTTTCTTGTAAAAACGGCAAGAAGTAAGGTAAGCTCAAAAAAAGTACTCCAATAATTGAAGTGTTCTTATTTTTTTAGGGAATTACTTAATTAACTAATTTTATTTCCAGAAAAAAATCATAGAAGTAGTTGCTAAGAAACAGATACTAAATGATGAGAATATTAGTAAAAATTTGGTTAAGTGATTTTAGTACTTGAGTGTAACGAACATAAATGTAATAATTGCGTACTATTGGATAATTTTTAATTACCTAAATATTAAACACTACACGTAATTCTGCTAGCTTAGTGTAAGAGCCATTGAATTATAAAGTAAATTACTACCTAATAGTTACACTATTTTAAGTATACTATAAATCAGTCATACATAGCGAATTGTTTCTGGAATTCGAAGTCAAACTTTCAAAAGTGTAGTTATTACAAGTGTGTGCAAGTCCGTCGATATCTATACTTACAAAAGTGAACTCCTGGCCACAAAGGTGCTACAGGAGCAGTGACGCAAAATATGGCAGAGAACTTCGTGGTATTCTGCGGAAGATTCATGGCGTCCGGCACTCTTATATCTGTATGTACTTGGATTGTCGGTATACAGCGGTAGAAGTACACTGTTGAACTGATATGGGCTCCTATTGCTAAGTCTGAAATGAGTTGGATGTTAAATAAAACTTACAAAATAAAGTCAAAAAGTTAATACAATAGTGTATTAACTCAAAAAGTGTATTTTTTCAAAATCGATGAGAAATGAATACTCACTTCCTGTGAACGATCATTACAATTTATTTATAATATTATAGTTTATTACAGACATCTAAACAATTTCCTATTGGCCAAATATATTTAAAAACAAACGGGAAGAAATAATTTATGTTTTTGAATAAGGAGTGTATATTTATTAATACAAAGACCGAACACTCAGAAAAAATTCCTTCGATCCGGCCGGATTCGAACCGACGACATCTAGCTTACCGTGCCAGACGCTATACCAAAAACTCTCGAGATCGCGCTAATGTCTCAAAATTTATCGTGCCTCGAATTTTAACAATAAAAAACGACATTCTATCGTGTCAAACCAAAAATAAAAACACTAGCACCGCAAGGTTTAATGCAGTTTTTGTAATTTCATAACAAAAAGAATCTTTCGGCTGTTAACGAGGGAAAATACATTTATTCGTTTTTTTAATAGAAATAAATTACTTTCCAAAGCAAAATTGGAAAGTCTAGACAATTTTTTTAATATCTACGTAAGTTAAATGTATCTTTTTATGTTATTGACCTCAAAAATTCCAAAAATAAATCGACAAATCCTTTACACAGGTTTTTCTCAAAATGTTGTTTTTGATATTACAGTGTTTTGGTTTGACACGGTAGATGGGACTTGTCAATTTATGTTTTTTTTACACCCTCATAGCCCCGTACCAGGGAAACCCTGTACCTGCAACATCGCGAGTGCCATGGACAAACACATAGATACCACAAAAAGCAGTTTAAGGAAGTAACTTCTATCATTTAACCCGGGATAGAAATTTTCAATCTCCCTGTTCCTTATGTTTGGTAATCTAAACGATGACGTCAAAACTTTTTTATACTAACCGTTACAATTGTTGTGATCAACATCAAACCCCTTCGAAACAGAAATGCCGAAACCGCGAGCTCCTTCAGCCTCAATTTTCTGAACATATTGTTGTTTTAATCCTTTAGCACTGCCTTTGTAAATGTATACTGCTCCTTTGCCTTCGTTTTCCCAGGGCGCTCCAATTGCTACGTCTGAAATGTAATTCAAATAATTCGTGTGTTCAATAAAACCTGACTTATTGCCAAACATTCTATTGACAAACACGGTAGGCCAACGATTTGGTCTGTGGCCACTCGATGAGGAGGTCCCGGGCTGGAATGCCGGTAGGAAAATTTGGAATATAACTTTTTCTACATTGGTTATGGGTTGGAAGTTCTGGATAGCGCCCCGCAGAATTAATTCTATTACTATGACTCCATTTTAAACTTATCAAACGGACCACGGGCCAGAGTAATAAATTTATCAATTTGGAAGACACTCTTGGTCATTATCACACACCACATAAATACTACAAGGAATAACATGGAGTGGTTGAAACTGCCAAATATTAATTAATTTCTTTTTCGAATTTCAGATTCCCGGAAATAGTTTGACAATTGAAAAACTTGAAATTGGATGACAAAACTATTCAGTCAGAAAAGGCGCCACTAGAATAACTTTAAAATCCAATTTCAGCTTCCTGAGTCTCATTTAATAACTTTTTCAAAAACTACTCATAGTTTCATCTTACAATGCAGTGAAACTATTTTTATTTTTTTTATAATATCAAGTGATGGGACCAGCAAGCCATGCGCCCGATGGTAAGCTACACGCCTGTCCATAACAATTGCAGTGCCACTCAGAGCTTTAAATCGCAAATATCTGAAGGGCACTGCTACTACGCCTGTCACCCTGAAACATAAATTGACAAATCCCGTATGCCTATAATTTCACCAGCACCCTTCAAAACTGGGACGCAGTAATGGTTACATTAAACCATCGCAGAAAAGTAGCCTGCTTGTCGTTTTTCCATCGGATACATTTCGGGGAGTGTGCGCAGGAACTTTTCAATTTGGTTCCGCCCTCACCGTTCCTCCTTCGGTCGACTAGAAGGTCCGGAACACTCCTTCCTTTTGTTGTTGATATACCGCCTATTCGCACTAAATGCTTTGCTTCCTCCTTTCTGATGCGTATAGAAAAGGAATGGAATACTCTATCTGTGTTTCCCGAAAAGTACAATTTAGGGCTATTCAAGGCTAGAGTGAATAGGCATTTTGTAGGCAAACTTGTCCCATCGTCGGTCACATCGTCGCTTAACATCAGGTGAGATTGTGGCCAAGCGTGTGTCTATTATATATTTAAAAAAAACATTACTGCTTGATGGCAAAAATAGGCAAGGTGCTAGTCCCTGGACGAACTCTTTCACTAGGAACTCTACTGCTCCAAAAATGTACTAATTGTTGTAAATCCGGAATTCAATAATTAATTAATATTTGGTGCTTTTAACCACTCCGTATGGCTCTTGACACCTATATTATGTTGACATTTATGTGCTCATAAGGAACGACCTAATTCGACCATTGGTCATTATTCATAATGATCGGTCCGTATTAATAATGCCTGATTAATCAAATTGTCCGTGACATAAATATACGTTTCATGTTAATTAGTGCTAAATAAAGATGCTCAATAGTTTTTTATTTCTGCAGTTAAATTTGCTTCAGTATAATAAGCTGTCTATATAAAGCTGGATCTACCTTTAAAACCGTCGCCATCGATGTCACCCAGAACAGCAATGGTATTACCAAATCGCGATCCGCTTACACCAGACCCTGACACATAGCCAGTGTCTTTTAAAACCAGTTTTTTGTCCTGAAGCAAAATAAATACAAAAAGTAATGACAGAAGCCAGATGAGGAAACCTTTGAACAAACGTTGTAAAACTTTAGATCATAATTTGTCTAGGAGTTACCCTAGTGGGATATATGAATCCCTGTGATAGCACGTACCTTTAAGGTTCATTCTTAAGTTATGAAAATGTTTATAAACGTTTAGTAGCTGTATCTCTTAACGGCAAAGGAAAATGTTGTAATGAAACTTGCACATTGAAAACGGTTCACAGGCCTTGGAAAACATGTGAAGCCTCAACCGGTTAAATAAGGGGACCGCCTATGACTTAAGCCCTTTCTTTAGTGGGACATATGTTGACGATAATACGTATTGAAAGTGCAAGGCATCACACAAAGTAATCAATATTATTTTTATACAGTCAATAAATAGTCTTAAAAAAATAAAACTATCTTACACCTGACAAGAATTTACTTAAAAATACATCTAAATGTAATTTTGCTTACGGTTAAATCTAGGTTAAATTTCTTTGGGGGAGGCCTTTATGCTATCAGTAATGGTGATGACGCAACATTCAGTTGTTATTTATCATCCTCTGTTGTTTTACATTTTAAGACGTTTTAGAGAGTGTTTTGGCAAAATAATTTACTTCCATTTTTATTAACATAGATTTCCGTAAAGTAACCCTTGAATCTATTAATTACATTTAAACTTACCTTTTCTTCAGCCAAGTAAACGAAAACAGCACCCTGATCGTAAGGCAGATCGCCATCTTTTTTTACAAAATTAGGAGCTCCAACAAGAAGATCTGATCGTCCATCATTGTTGATGTCCAGGCAACAGAGACTGGCTCCAAAATAGGACCCTAGTTGGGAACCTTGCACTCTTGCACGGACGTTTAGTGGTGCCGTTTCGATGGTGGGTGGGTCAAATACGAGGACCTGTTTAAGAATATCTGAAGTTAAAAAAAAATTTACTTATTTCGGCAAACGGACAGACTATAAAGTTTACCTGATAAAAACCATCACCTATAGTTACTTTAGTTGGCACTACTATGCTATTTTCAGGCATAATATCTTTAGACTCGGCCTGTGTAAGGAGGTTAAACGTTCAGTCTCCGTCTCTTTATTATACAAATGAGGACCTGGTGAAAATCGCTGAGGGGCTTTGGATGCTAGTGGTAGTTAGATAAAACTGGTTAGATTTCCGATACCGCAGTGCCGAAGTCGCTCCCGAAGTCTTCGACCTTTCCAATAAAAAACAATAAGATTTCTAAAGGAGTTCGAGCGGCACGAGTAGAACCCTGTACTCATCACGCACAAAATAGGAGCTACGACATCGAGTGCAAAAACCAGCCCCCTACATCATACCACAATATTATATATACATACATACATTTCACGCCGTTTTCCATCACGATAATCACAGCTTTTCACTTGCTAGGACCCTGATATACATCTTTCAACATGTATCAATACTTTCACACACGCTCGTCTGTGGGTATTCTTATCTTTTTAGACCTGGCCTGTTTTTTCGTGGTAAGTTTACTGAGGCACAAACCTGTCCGTAACCCTTCTTCGATCTGGGTGCAGCAGCAACATAAAGTGTGCTTCCGTTTAATTGGAATACCCCTGATTCCACGCTGTATCCTGCAATTAAATTCGTAATTTATTGGTCATAGTAAATTACGATGAATCATCAAAATTAAAAGCTGTAAAGACAAAATTACTTAGGGCAGTGAAATATTCGGTCTATTTTTCTGGCAGTTTTATTAGGTATTTGATTATATTAACTCCTGATTGATTGGAGCGACTACAAACTGCTTGTTTTTAGTGTACTTTTAAAAATTGGCAATCATAGAATGCAATTCAAGTTTACATGGGTAGATGTGAAGAGTGTGTCCAGTCAGATTCAGTCAGAGCCATGAATCGCGACATGGTCGTCATTGAAGTTATTGAGTTTCTAATTTCGAAGGCAAGGGTCCAAGACATACGAGATCGGATAACGAAATTAAACTGGAGCTAACTAGGACATCTTGCGAGAAAAAAGAGACAACCTATATAATGGTGGTCACGAAATGGTTGCAAAATCGTGGGACAGCTTACAGCGAGATGCGCAAACAACATCGTCAGTTCTGAGATCAACGCAAGACCACGATGGATGGTATAAATCATGTGAGGCTTATTGCTGCCTCGGGATGTGGATATGATGATAAAGGGAAGTCGTGGCCTCATTGATGCATCGTTAATATAGCTTCATTAACGCTCTTAGCCACAGCACAATAAATACAGTTGAAGTGCATAGTTTGCGTGATGGGTATACCAACAGTTGGCTTTGTACGTTATGGTCGTGCCAAGTCAATTATGTCGCGTAAAGCATCTAAAACCGTAGAAAAATACCTTATTTCGTTACTATGGAGTTCAAAAGTGATAGTCGCACTTGAAATATTATATCTTCTGTTTCGTATTGAGTGTTATTTAATTTAATTTTAAGTTTAAGTTTTAATTTTGTGTTTATCGTTATCATTTTTTTTGTTAAAAGTAAGGACAGTAAACTTTTAACCGCTGCAATATTTTCGCTTCTTTTTTGGAAAATATAGTAAACATCTCGAATTCGTTGTCACTCAGCTATTAATCGCTAGGTGGCAGCACAGCACAGCAAGTTTTAATTATATTAACAGTTCACAATATGTTTTTTTTTTAAGTTTTAAACTACGACCAATCATTATCAGGATATCGTAGTGTTTCAAATAACGAATGCATGGTTTAGTCGGCAGCGGCTCTGTCGTCACGAACCCGTTTGGTGGTTTGTTCGAAAGTTGACATTTCTATGGAAAACATACTTGCTATTTGACGTAGTAGTAAGCGGTAGCGTTGTATCTAAAGAGCCCCTATCAATCTTCGGTTATACAGGAAAGGCACTATTATTGCACTGTTCTCAAAGGCTAGTGCCTTGGGTGAGTGCCCTTGGGTATACTTACAGCACCCTCCCTATTGTCCAGATAGATACTGAAGCTGTTCTGGCTCTCTAACTTCCGGTTGTACATTGCATAACTAGCGGTTGCCACCGCTTAGCCGTTGACTTTAAAATCGACTATCAAATTACCGTTTTGGTAGTGGAGTTATCGGCATGCTCACCATTCGACGCCGAAGCGTCTGTCCCATTCCAAAAATTCCTAAGCGGCTGGAGGGACCGGAGGGTATCTAGCTTATCCTCTACTTTTCTCCGGACTAGTACCAAAGACGTCAGTCGCAGTGTCCAGTGAAAGCCGGACAAATCTTCCAACTTACAGGTCAATTCACGTAACCTATCTTTTCACATTTCTTCATAAGTTTTGTTTATAGTGCACCTCCTATCTCCCTCTCTATCTCTATCCTCTTGGTTATGCGGGAAGGGTACTATGACCTGTGACCTGACCATCTAAATCAGGTCCTAACCCCGGATCAGCACGTTTCCACGGACTTCATCCAGTTCTCTGTAAGGCCAGTGTCTTAGCCGCTCAGGCGATTAATGCGTCTCTGGAAGCATACCACACCTAGAGGTGCCGGTGATGATTTTATACCGATTTATCGGATATCGAAGTTATAACAGGTCAAAGAACTAATACTAATTGCTATTTCGTTAACTACTCTAGCAAACCATAAAGTTTTTAATGTCTGGGTCTGTCATTTAAAAAAATAAACAACTTCAAAAATACGTCACGACAATCGTGTGTGTTATTGTTTGGGCTGGTGATGTCGGTGTTTATTTATTGAATACATACCGTAAGTAGCGTTTTTTAAGTTTACCCTGAATATAAATGTTTATAAACTATACTTTAAGGAGTAATTTCATGGTAAACATTAGAACCACTCAAACGGAATATTATCATATTTACCCAAGTACATTAAAAGTTTCATTAGTGCTTTTTAAGTGCAGGATTTGCGGAGTATTACTGCATTTTATTTGAGATGTTTTATAATAATTTATAATAATTTATATAATAATTTTTATTTTTAAAAACTTGTATTTAAACTGAATCCTTTTCTAATTTGCGAAACCAAATAGCCGCCATTTTGCGGTAGGATGATCGCATCGCGTGAGCGGTTAGGTGAGCCGCCCCGGTTACAGCATATATACAGCACCCTCCCTATTTTCCAGATAGGTACCGCAGCTGTAGGCACACTCACTCACTGTAATCAAACAGTAATAAGTGTCCTTTAAGGGGCGATTATTTGATCCCCGTATGTATCTCATACATCGGTGTTTGCTAGACTTTCAAAACTACAGGCTCCCGTCACAGGAATATTATATTTTTTAACTTGAACGTTACTTAAGCTCTTATTGTTATGCATTAAAGTATTTTAAATAGACCTAAACTTATTACGGGGTAATGTATTGATTTTAAATGAGGTTTACAGACTTAACAACTTTTCTTGTTGAATCTTAGAGTGAAATTAAAGCAAGGCTTATCTTAAGACAGGATTAATACTTTGTTATAGAGTAAATATTTTAGCTAAATTTAGATTGTGCTTTCATTCAAGATTGCTTTCTGAATACTAACGATTTCATTGGAAATATACACATTTTCCGTATACAGGGTGAAACAAGACTGTGTAGTAGTTGTTATGGAAATAAAAGTGTCCCTGAAACATTAAAACGAGAGAAACAAATTGTTTTTAATAGATAAAATAAGTGCGCATTTGACTACCGTCTCACGTGATGGAAAGTGACGATGATGCATGCATGATGAAAAGCCTTAGTTATAGTGCCTATTCAGGAAGGCAGGGAATTCCACATGCGATGTATTTATAAAAATGGAAATGTGTGGATCTTGGACATACTTACTCGTATACTCCAGCCTATGTCTAGTATTTCGTTGCACATAATGCAAGTAGGTATAGATAACAAATACAATATATGTACGTACCCTATTTTTATATTATGGTTTTGAAATACGCTATATGGTACAGGAAATTATATCTAAATTTAGTTACATAATTTAGAAGATATTGCGGAAGAGTTAGAAGTAGAAACATTTGAACAAGGGCTACGTTGATATATCACGCCCTGGCTGACATTCATGTCCCCATTGGACAGAAATCTGGTCACCGAATTCTTTCGCGAGACAATGTGCAGGTTTTTAGCGAAGAATTTTGTTTGTGGCTCCTAGGGAGCCCGCACTGCGTCAAGTTAATTCAATTAAAAAATTAAATTGAAAATATAATTTCGTATACATATATTTCGAAATACTTACCAAAATAGTCATCAGGTCCCAAATCTAAGGTGTAATAAGGATTAGCAACGGGGACTTGATCGAAAAATATACTCCTAGGATCCGTGATGAATCTGTACTCGATGATGCCTCCTGGAAAATAAATAGTGACGCGATTTTAGTTGCGGGTAGGCCAAACTGACATACCATGCGGGGAATGCAAACGACGCCTTCGATTGTGGACTGTATATGAATAAATATGTATGGTTGATTGGAACAAACAACAGTAGGTAAGCTGGGACAATACCTCTAAAAACTAACCGCGTGGCCGTTCTTTTGGTGCGTTGAGTGATCTCGACACGGATTGCCTCGCCCAGGGAGTGATTCTTGATGTTACAAGTTCCCCAAAACATACGTTTGACTATGATTTTTCACAAGAAATTGACGGAGGCGGTTGCGCGGGCGGCATATGAATTCAAATATGAAAGTGTCTAAATTTCGCGAGGTAAATTCAAGCATCATTTTCGGCGTAACCATGAAATAAATGGTCTTTAGTAATCTAAGATCTTAAAAATTGTGGATATCAATAAAAGAATTTAACTATGGAACAAAAATAGATCTGCATAAACAACACATTAAATTATATTCCTATAAATATCATACCACCTATGCATAGATCATTGTTGTCAACCTATTATTTATGGAACCGAAGTTTTGTAACAATACCCTAGTGACCTTTATGTCAATTGTACTACGAGATACGAACACAAATGAAGTACAAACGAGATACGAGCCAAAAGTCACATGTCGTTTGGAGAACTCTTACGCAGTCACGAGACATCACATAGCTACCATATTTAGTTCAGAAGTCAAAACGTGTAGACTGGTTTACTTCAGTTACTTTCTAAGTTAAATGATATACGGCTTTGGGGTAATGCCGCCGATATTAATAGAATCTTTGTTCTACATAAACGTGCGGTTACAGCATTTTACAATCTGGGCCCCAAAGTGTCTTTGAGAGATAAGTTTAAAGAGATTATCATTCTTACACTCGCGTCACAGGACATTTACGGAAATGTTATTTATGTTAAGATAGTTTTTTTTTTATGAAAAATAGTCGTCGTAGTAGAATAATAGTCGTCTTCACAAAGCCACAAACTCATTTAAGGGGCAATGTATATACTTATATAATAAAGATTCCGGTTGATATTCAAAATTTGCCATTTACAAGGTTTAAAATTATAGTGAAACAAAAACTTTATATAAAAGGTATCATACAGCTTCTGTGTAATCCGTGGTAGTTTAGCTCTCACTAATCATTGAGACTAAGTAAGATGTTTGAATTTAATATTGTACATGTTAAATGTATTCTAATGTATATTTACAAAGAGCAACCCCTAGAGTTTCTTGCTCGTTCTGCTCAGGGGGTTCTACCTTAAGAATGAGCAGTAGAGTTTAATTAATATGACGATTTCAAGAGTAATTTTCTTGCCTATGAAATAAAGATGATTTGAATTTTGAATTTTAAAACCTAAGCTACGTTAAAACCTACATTAGACAATTTACCTGAAGTAATTATTCCACTTTAAATTCATTTATAATAATTTCTGGGCATATAGTGCGAGGATGTTCTACAATTACCTGTCCACTGCAGTAATCCTGGAGCACCAATAATAATACTGTTATCCTGCGTCACTTTGACCGACATCCCAGCCTGACCGTAGGCGAAGTAATTCAGGTGTTGTTGATACTCGCCGTATTCTTTACGTACGCCGTCTGTTCGCAATGCTAGGCGACCTGAAAGAACCATACTATTAAATTATTATTACTCGAGGTGGCTTCAGGGGTACAGAACGTATTACGAGCTTTTTAATTTTTTGTTCAAAGTGACTTATTTTGTGCACAATTGTACTTGATTGACGGTAAAGGCATTCCAGGACAATACTATATCTTTTCATAATAAGGTGGCTTCCCACGGAGCGCGACGCCACGGATCGCGCTTCGGCAAGGCGGAGCTCGTGCCTACACGGACTCGCCTTTAAGGGCTTGAGAACTCAAACTAGAATAGACATCGACCCCCCCGAATGGGTTCCCGCCTTACAGTGGCGGGGGGGCTCTAGTAGTCTGAATGAATGATCTTTGACTTTGACTTTGACTCCCCTTGAGGGTTCAGCCCAGTCTCACATAACCCCGGCTCTACCCCGTAGGGCCGGGGTATCTGTAAGCAGATTCCTTTGGGTAATAAAAAAAGAATAGAGATCGCAACACACACCTTAGTTCGAGATTTACCTGTGGCATACCCGTATAAACCACCGCAGCGTGGGAGGACCCGTGAAATAACAGGTCGCCCGCCACTTTTCGGCATCTGCCTGTTCTATTTGATAGCAGATTTTCGTATCGTATTACAATGATTCAAAATCATCGTAAACATACGTGCAGTAGCATGGCTGCAAGGCAAGGCTCTAAGGAGAAGGCCCCAAACTGGCCAAAGATGCCCCAAACTGGTGCGGCAAACCCTCAACTGCTTATTCTCTTGTGTACATTAAAGTCTTACTCAAATCCGTTTGTTTGTTATACGGATAGAATAGAAAAGGTACAAACTTCTATCTGTCAGAGGCGTCAAGGTTTTCCCGACGCTTTTTCCTTCTATGTAGCACGCACCATAGCCAAGATAATGCAGATACTTCTTGTCTTGGAATGGATAGGTCCAACGGGGTGCACAAACCTGTAGCAGCAAAGAAAGATTCGTTACAAGAAGGATTTTTGCCTTCGAGTATTGTTTTGAAATGCCCTCGACTTACCAGTAATTTGTCCTTAGGCACAACAGCGATCGTGGCCCCGAACCACATGTCATTTTGGAAGAAGTCTTCAACAGTTATAATTCGCCTTTTTGATCCGGCTCGACCTGAAGAGAACTCTACAATATTGTTACAGCTTAACCAGAATCAACAATGATTTCTTTTCAAGTGGTTTTGAACAGTTTAAAAAAGAAACATTTTATTTTTTTCCCTGGAATGAATCCACATACGTATTTATGAATATTGAAGGCATTTCGTTTGCTACTTTCTGTTTTCATGGAAATTTTGAACAAGACGGTGCTCAAGCTTGTAATAGCCGACGAATGCGTTTAAATACACTATATCAGTGATTTGTAAACAAATTAATGTGAACAGATCATTCTAAATGAACACCGTTATAGCCAGCCATTGAAATTCTCCTATGTGTTTTTGTTGTAGATCTTTTTCAAAGTTACTTATTTTGTACACAGCCGTACTTGATTGACGGTAAAGGCATTCAGGACAATGCTATATCTTTTCATAATAAGGTGGCTTGTCACGGACCGCAATGCTACAGGTCGCGCCCTGGCAAGGCAGAGATCGTGCCTACACGGACTCGCCGACGAATATTGGAAAGTGGTGAAAAAGGTCTAGTGGTGAAAATTATGTGTGTCTGTTCTTTGTGTTCCTAATCATAACAAAACTTGTGGAGTTATTTCACAAAAAATGTCAACAAATAAAATAAAACAGTATTCAAAAATTAAAAGGCGATCTTACAACAATGTTCAATGGAGTAAATCCGAGTGACATTTCAGGCGCTACTTTCTGTTAGCGGAAAAGAGCTGCAATCGATGCGAGGTACTTCCTATCATAGTTACTTTTTTAAAGTTAAAAAGTTCTTCTTTTGAATGATCATGCAAGCGGAAATTCCTGGTGATAGCGGAATGCTATCATGTCAGTTATGGAAAATTAGATAACGTTTAATGAATGCCTACACTCTCGCGGAATTGTGAAACTCTTCGAGTCTCGCTTGCACACATCAGTCGGATTACGAGACAAGAGGACAGCCAGTGATTGAATTATTCATGTTAAATTTTGAACATGGCTACATTCATATTTGTTCCTACTATGCTCAATCACTGAATTTCGAACTCATTTCCCACCCAAAACCATATAGTTTTGAGGCGCCATCTATTGGCTCAATATTGAACTATAAAAATACCTAGCTACTGCATTTGAGAGCCCCATATCTTTCTACATTAGATTTGAATATAGTGAACCGACCGTTAGGAACGAGTCGCGTACTATGACATGCGCGAGCAGGGACTTCCGACTTAACAGGCAACGCACGTGCCTCACGCATCTCCTCGCCATTAGGCCCTCGTCTAAACCGCTATTAAGACGCGCTACGAACCCCCCGGTTACATGCTACCAGGGCAGATGAACGTGTTTATCCCATGCAGCTAACCCCATACTCCGGCAAGTCCATACCAAAGTCCGGGTCCGCCAGAGGCGCCCATGAAGGTGTATCACTAGCGGGTTGCTCGGCCTGGATGCCTGCTGTACCCTGATTTTACCGGAGAGCCCGTAATCTCCCCGGAACTCGCTATCTCTCGGGTCAGTAGATAGGGACAATTGCATTTAATAAAGGTTTTTTTTAACACGAAAATACTATGAAACTGCGTTACCTAACAACTCCTACGCTTCGAGCAAAGTGGTATTTACACTCCGAACAGGCGGGAGTTGCCTTACTTGCTCTTATTATGCTATGCTATTAGGAGGTTCTAAACACAAAAAAATAACTAGTACTTTCTGTTGCCGTCAATCAATATTATTTTCGTGAGCAAACCGACTAGCAGTTAGGCTTTAAAGTATGTCACTAATTTAATAACTTACCTCTCTCAATCCCCATAGAGTAACAAGTGACATTACTTGCTGCTAGATCTGTTAGTTCACACGTGAATACTGCGCCAGGTGCAGTGGTGTTCGAGATACGACTCTTTGCCTTCGGAGCTCCGACTATGAGGCTAGAATTAATTATGCACATTTTAAATGATATCATCGATACTTATCAACATTACGCCAACTTAATTTTTTGATCATCTCCGTCTTTATTTTGTTTCTTTATTTATTTTTTCACAAAATTCGTTTCTTTTGTTTTTTTTCGAATTCAGTTTTTTTGTTTGTTTACTTTTTTCGCAAAATGCGGGGAGCATAATCTTAGTAAATAAAATAAGGCTGTTTACATTAAAAACAGAAAATGATCAAAAAATTAAGTTGGAATCATTGACTTACAAATAAATGGACGACGGGTCTAATACAAAAACCACGAAAAAAATGTCCCAAGTCAACCTATTTAAACGTAGTGACATGTAAAAGAATATGAAAAAGCTAAAACGTTGAATTTAAATTGTAATGTCATCGCAGTACTGTCTAATTTTGCTTGCTTCGCTGTCAGTCGAACAAACGAAGACTAAAGCGTGAATGACGCTCTGTATACGATTTTAACGCCCTATAAGTTCGGACACTTTTAGCGCGGACCCGACGTCCATATAATTGTAAGTGAATGGTTGGAATAGTATTTATTGGAGGTATCGTCGTGTAGGTACATCCTATAGAGTGTCTAAGTTTAGAGAAATGATAAAGAAAACGTGAATCGAAAGTGAATCATTTAAATAAAGGTAACTTAAGTTTTTATTGAATTGATATTCAATTATTTTTATGTGAAATTACTCCACTAGTTTGTCATAATTATTAATACAAATATTTGTCATAATTATTAAAAATTTAAATACAATGAATAGCGACATCTCTAGCCGGGACTGGTAGCTGTATAGGTAGGTATCTAACTGGGTGACGAAATATCATAGATTTCTCATAGATGGCGCTAGGGCTAAAAAGTCGCTGAAAAACCAAATACAAAGATACGACACAAGCACACAGAAAAATTCATGAGCTCCGCTAGTTTGTTCCGAGGCGTAGTTGGCATCTGGCTCGGTATGGCAGAAGACGTCGTTTCGAATCCGGCCGGATCGAAGGAATTTTTTCTGAGTGTTCGATCTTTGTATTAACAATTATAACAACTAACTGCTTAAACTCCAACACACAAAAACGGAGATTTATAACCTTGAAACCTTTGTCAGTGTATCTGTTTTGTTTTACCAAGTGACGGAACGGGACGAACAAGTCGCCGAACAAGGCCTGATGGTGACTTATCAACTTCAAGTCTCAGGGTGACGGTCACAGAAGCAGTGTTATTCAGATCTCTGAGATTTAAAGATCAGAGTGGTACTTGAACAGTTATGGATACTCATGTCGCCTACCACCAAAGTCCTGGGTCCGTATACTCGTTCTCTGTCCGATATCCGTCCAAAACAATTGCTGTCAACTAAGAAGTACTCGACTAAATTAAAAGAGGAACGTTGCGAATGAAGCTTCATACTTCAAATTGTCTTTTAGTAGAACGAGAACGAGAGAAGACCCCCAGTAGGGCTAGCATGACATGCCACGACTAGCGCGAGAGCGACGTACAGCGCGAGATACTGCTATTCCCGCATAGAGATCTCGCACTTAATGTCGCTCTCGCGTATGTCACGCCTTATCGTGCCAACTCTACAGATTTCGATGGTACACTAATAAGACATTTAATAAACACATCTATATATACCAATACGGTAACTATAAAACCTAGATATATTAAACAAATATTTTATATATTTTACTTGATTTTTTTTTTCTAAAAAAAAGCGCATTATGCTGTGCGATAACTGTAAGCACCTACGTAAAAGGCCGTTAAAGGGATTGCAGTAAGTAGGTTAGATTCAAGAACCACTGTAAATTATTTTTCACCTCACTAGCACGGAAAGGCTTTCTTTCTAAGAAATGTGCGCGCAAAAGCGTTTCTGTTGAAATTCGAATTCGACGATGGATTGTGGTGCACCTAACTGTTTATTTCGATGAAAAAAAACGTAATGACACGTTCAACTACGGGATTTGTCGTACATTATTTATGTAATATCATGGAGTATATTGCCAGAAATAGAGACGAAATAAGGGCCATATGTTCCTGGTAACACATTAGCGATACAGCTCTTAAAAAATATCTACTCTCGTTTGCACTGAAATATAGACAGGCTAACTACTGACCTGTGTGTACGTCTCCATATATTCCAAAAAATATTCTGTATTTATTGTAATAAAGTTAATATCTCTAACAATGCCGTTCTGTTCTGTTCGGTGGTGTGGGAAAAACAGCAAAACATCTAATTACAAAACAAACGGAATCACATTTCATCGGTAATTAAATATTAAACATGTAATTTTGCAATTTTCGTCCATTATAGCAAAGCTCAAGTTAACTGGTCGATTTGAAGCGAAACAGTTGACGACACCCGTCAATTGTTTCGAACTCGGGCTAGCCAAACGGAGCGCAGTTGTCACGGTAATGAAAGAAAAGAAAGAAAGAAAGAAAAAAACAAAAGATTAGCAGCCGTAGACGCATACCACATCTAGAGGTGTCGGTGATGATTTTGTACCGATTTATCGGATATCGAGATTATAACAGGTAAAAGAACGAATATTAATTGCTATTTCGGTAACTACTCTAGCAAACCATAAAGTTTTTAATGCCTGGGTCAGTCATTTAAAAAAAATAAACAACTTCAAAAACACGTCACGACAATCGTGTGTATTATAGTTTGCGCTGGTGATTTCGGTGTTTATTTATTGAAAACATACCGTAAGTAGCGTTTTTTAAATTTACCGTGAATATAAATGTTTATAAACTATACTTTAAGGAGTAATTTCATGGTAAACGTTAGAACCACTCAAACGGAATATTATCATATTTATCCAAGTACACCAAAAATTTCATTAGTGCTTTTTAAGTGCAGGATTTGCTTATTGTATTACTGCATTTTATTTGAGATGTTTTTGTTGGTAGTACGGAGGGCAAATATTTAGCAATGCAGAATAATAATTTTTATTTATAAAAACTTGTATTTAAACTGAATGCTTTTCTAATTTGCGAAACCAAATAGCCGCCATTTTGCGGTAGGAGGAACGCATCGCGTGAGCGGATATTTTTCAAACAAATTAAATGACATTTCGTCTCTATTTCTGGTTATATACTCGATGTATAATATAAATCCGTTGGTATATTTTATTCTTATTATTGTTAACTTTAAATTGCCAACGATAACTAATTTTATTTATCAAAATTGATTTGTTATACATAGTTCAACTGTTTTTCTTTTAATCTACCATTTTACTCGCCATAGTGAGGTGAAAAGTTGTGTGTTTCGCTCGGTAGCAAAGTTGTTTTGTGTCTCGAGGCTTGAAACCCTCCCTACGCTCAGTATTCTATTTTTGAACCTACATTACATTACATTCTATATCTATATGCACTACATTCCATTTTTGAGCCTTGCATAACAAATAGGTAACTACTTATTGTTTTGGAAAATAAATGAAAAAAAAACAACCAGGAACGCGACTTCGTGCTTGAGCCATTCGTATACATTTATTTGAAATTGCAGATGACATATTTGTTCATTGTCCTCTTCATGTTATAACCCTCTATGATATCCTCTCTTAAACTGGGTATAGAGCTCTTGTATTTTTTACGGCCTACGATAATAACCTAATAACCCCTTACCTTAAATTCTTTTCTTCTGCGTACTGTAAAGACTTTGTAAATCCGTTCTGTAACTTTGCCTACCACTTTTGTTTCAAATTACTTATGTATAAAATTTTTCCATTTATAGAGGCTTGTTATTCGCTTGTTCTAGTACCGTGTTACTTCACTACTTAATAAGACATCCACACTAATTTTATTTATATTAGGGCTAAAAGTCTGTTTTGGCAGGATCATAATATAATTAATTGACAATTTATATTATGAATTTCTTACAATTAATATAACGCAATTCATCTATTTCACAGTGTTCTATGGAGGTCTGGTAAAACGCTGTCAAATAGATGAATTTGAAAATTCATAGATAGGAATTGTCAACTAATCATATTATTATTATGATTCTGCCGATTCTGCCAATGCGGCCTTTTAGCCTTCCTGGTCTCATAATAGGGAATTCCCTATGAGTACCAAAGTAGTGGATTTCGCTCCTGGGAACTTACGAAACACCCAGACGTGAATCAATTCATCATCATCACCACCATATCAGCCGGAAGACATCTATTGCTGAACTAGCCAGTCGCACGCGACGTGCATCCATCGATACGTCGCCCTTACCAGGTCATCCGTCCTTCTAGTAGGGGACCGTCTCACGGTACGCCTTCCGATTCTCTTCTTCTACGGATCTCCTCATTTTTGATTCGATCACGTAGAGAAATGCTTAGCATTGCTGCTCCATGGCTCGATCAGGGACTTTGTGCTTTTTATGAGGTCCATAGTAAGCGACCACGTCTCAGAGCCGTAGGTCATCGCTGCCAACACGCACTGCTCGAAGACTTTTGTCGTCAAGGACTGCGGTATTGCGGGTGAAAAGACATCCCGGAGCTTTCCGAAAGCTGCCCCACCGAGTCGCATCCGACGATTGAGTTCTTTCTCGAAGTTGGCTCTGCCTAATTGGACGGTTTGTCTGAGGTAGACATACTCAACAGCTTCGAGAATAGAGGTTTCCACTGTTAAGGGATGGGTACGACATGGACATTCGACATAAGTTTTGTTATGTAAAGTTACCTACTTTTCGAAATATACAACAGGCCACCGAGGTCGTTAACATTTGACACTGCCACAAACGGTCGACGAACTGATAACCATGGGCCTCATGAAGTTGAAAATAAGCTCGTTCGTTGGCTTGCGCATCGTGAAAGATGATCTACTTGTAGTATTAAATATTTATTTCAGT